AAGATCTGGGCCTCTCATATGCTGCTTTGTTCTGCCAAGTCCTCCTCACTAAGACCAGAAACTAGCTGCATTTTCTTGACAGGTCTTTGAGGTGCTGCCACCAAGATCAGGCTTCCTAAATGATGACCTGGTTAATAAAAATGGTGATGACAATATCTACATTTACTGGATAGATACAATGTTTAGGTCCTGGGAAAAGCTCTTTTACTTTTGTAAAGTGCTCACCATAACCCGTAAATTGAGTATATATTATTATTTTGGCATGAACTGCTTGTTGCCTACCCAACAATCATTCTCCCATTCACAAACATTAAAAACTACATCTCCCAGATTTCCTTGCGACTAGGAGTGGCCAAAGAAATATAAGTGGAAGTTGCTGGGAGAGCTTCTGAGAAAGCTCTTTAAACCTGGTAGGATGCCTTTTACTTCCCTGATCTTTTCCTCTTTCATCTTGGCTGGAATGACAGGTGGAGGACGCCTTGTAACCGTGAAGTAACTTTGGGATGGAAGCCATATGCAAACAATGATGAAGCAGAAACAGAAGGAGCCTAGGCTCCCGATGACTGTGGAGCTGCCTCACCACCTCTCTTCAGACTTCTTTTACAACAGAGGAAATAAATCTCTGTTTAAAGCCCATATTATTTAGCTGTTCAATTTTATGCAACAGAAACTAATCCTGAATGATTTAAGTATTACCCAATGGAGCAGACATACACAGCGCCCCCCAAATATCTATATGCTCCTCTACATTTCTCAATCTCCTTTGAATTTGGGTTGGGGCTATGTATCTAATTTTGACCAATAGGCTCTGAGCAGAAATGACATGTGTCACTTCTGCACTGTGCCTTCTCCAGCTCTGTCTTCCCTGCTGCAGGATCATTGGAAGCCACATGATGAGATGGTAGGAGGAAATGGGATCCTTGAGTCACTGGATGTATTTGAGCTCCCACTAACCTGTCTGGATGAGACTTTGGGTGAGTGAGAAATTAACTTTTGTTTTGCTAAGTCACTGAGGCCTATTTTATAAATGAAGAAATTGAATATTTCAATAAGTAAGTAACTTGCCTCAATCAAAGAGGCTACTTAGTACCTAAGTCTAACTCATGATAGCCAAGCTCGATGGTCTCCATCTCCTCCTTTGTATTGGCCTCCGTTGGCACCCTTGACCCTGTTGGCTCCCCGTGGCTTGCTTCCATCCAGGTAGCTTGTCCTTTTCCTGTGCATCTCTCTCTTGGGCCTGCATAGACTAGAATGCCCAAGTCTTAAGCTATGACATTATAATTATAGAATTACATCTAATATTGTAATCCTGTCTTGGAATTTATTTTGAGTCTTGGCTGGTTGAATTGACCAATACTAAAACTGGCTACTCAGCATCTGGCTCCTATTTGGTCTTTGGCTAAAACAAAAAAAAAAATCAGAATTAATTTCCATCACTGGATTCATAGTATTTTCTGTTTTCTTTCCTGAGCACAGTGAAGAAAAAAGTGAGATGTGGCTATCATACTGTGTCTGAATCATTCAGCTTAGTGGGTTGGAACAACTTGCTCATAAGAAAAACTCATGTATTCAACAGATATGTTCCAGGGCCCCTGATAGATTCTGGGGATGCAAAGAGAATTTTACAATACAGCCCTTACTTTAAAGGAGTACCTGATATAATGACTTTCATGAATAAATAAAGTGCAAAATAGCGTGATATCCCATAGAGAATCGGTGTGTATCAGACACAGTGGTGACACAAATGAGGTTGCTTTTTTCCATGTAAAGTGGTCTCCATTCCTACATGAGGGGTGTTAGTGCCACGATTAGAAGAGTTTTTCAGAGAATGCTTAACACTAAGTGTTGTACTAAGCATTTTCCATCCATCTTCTTCCCTCCTTTATAGCTACTACATCTAGTCCAGGGACGAGTAAACTGTTGCTCAGTAAAGGAAAGAGACTTGCCTAAGGTCACACATGTAGGATTTTAACTCAGTTCTGTCCAACTCCAGAACTTCAAAATTTCCCCAGTATACCAAACTGGTCCTTCTGGTAAGGGAGATGCGTTTAGCAACATAAGCCTCCATTGCCTTATCCAATGAATTTCCTGAGCCAAGCCCTCTGCAGCTTCATTCCAGCGTGAGCTTCTTGGAAATTCGGTGCTCGTTCTCAAGGCCTACCTGCTGAGCTTTATTTCTTCATTCTGAAATAAGAGCTGCCCTGTAAACAGCATCTGGCGCTCACTTCCTGGCCTCTGGCTGGTGGAGCAAGAACATTTCCAGCGCCTATGCGTCCCTATTCTGTAAAAAAAAAAAAAGTGTTTATACTTGGTCCCCTCTGAAGGCGGACGACGCCCATACTTTGTCCCAGACGAATTTGTTTCCTGAGCTTTTTCTAATCCTTTACACCGTAGGAAGCAGGGAGCACTACGTCTGCCCCTCTGGCGCCATCTAGCGGCACTATTCAAATCTCTCAATGAGCCCCCTGGAGAGGCGTTGTAATGCGTTCCGTAATTAATTGGATGAATCCTGCCACTTCATTGGCAGGTTTTTTTTTTTTTTTCATCTTCATGGACTAGAGAGTGACCAATTAGTAAAGAGAGCAGATAGCAAATATATTATCTTACTTTAAAGAGACCAGCGTCTCCTCTCGCTTTTCTCACCCCACCAGTTGTGACATTCCTTCACCTTCAATTCTTTCTTCCTTCTAAAAATATTTGTTTTGTTATTATATAGAGATCAGGGCATGGGGCACACAGCTGCACACCTGAGCAAACAGAGGGGCTGACTGATTTGCTAGTGTAATGAAAAACATTAGTTTTGAGCTCATTACTGTGATTCCACAATGGGCACCAAATCCCACTTAAGACCCACGGAGGAAGTCTTCAAAGGAACACTGTTTCAGTTTGTGCCTGGTGAGTGTGCAGCCTCTCTGAGTCTTTGCAAAAGAATAACCCTCTTTTGGAGACCCAGACCTGTCAGATCAAAACCAGGCCTGGCCTCCAGACCTTGAAACAAGTTGCAACAGTGAACCTTACTCACCCATTTTCAAAATAAGGCCTGTTCTCTTTACAAAATGGAGCAAAGCCTCTCAGATTGGTGCTGGCTGCAATATTTGATATATTAGGGAGAATCCTGACTCCTTCCAGGTTTCTGCTTGTCTGTTTTAAATCCAAATGTCTTGGCTGAGAGTGGTTTTTAGTTATTTTTTTCATTTGAAATGGAATTCCAAAGAGCAGGGGCATAACGCCCAGATACGGATGGGAGAGAAAATAAAAAAGTCCCCGGAGTTCCAGATTCACCTTCTGTGTTTAGGAAATGGAATCAGCGTTCATTGTAAACCTACTATGTGTCAAAGTACCATGCGGAGAGTGTGATATTGCTGAGTCTTAGAAATTTTACAAGATTTCTCATGCTTTTGGTTTTCTTCAGAGGCGGGTTGATGGAGTGATTGAGAGCCCAACTTTAGAGTCAAATCCTGCTTCTACTTCTCATAGTCGTGGGCCTTAGCCATTTTTTGTAACCGCTTTGAGTCTCAGTTTTCTCACTTGGGAATCAGGTGATAGCTAAGTGATAACCACTCTTGTGAGGCTAAAACAAGGTAACCGCAGAAGGCATTTACCACAGGTCTGGGCACATCACAAGAGCTTCATCAACAGCTAATGTCATGATCAATTTCTTGAAGCAGGAATCAGAGCTTAGGCCCAAGAACAAAATGTGTGGCCTTCAGTAAAAGCCTGGGCTCCCTTTGCTCACTGTTGTCTAAGTTCTCAGATTGTTGAAGACTTGCCCCATGTCCTTCTCTTCCCTGTACCCACTTCCCCAGAGGGAACCAAGCGTTCTAACAATACTGGTCTTCTCTGGTCTTCTTGCTACTTCTAACACAAACTCTTATCCAAGACAGGAATGCTTTCTGTAGCCACCCTCATATAGGCCTAATTCCTTCAGGTCTCAGTTTAAAGGTCATTTCCTTTGGGGAGGCTTTCCCTAATGACCAGACCAAATCAAGCCCTCCCTGCTCCCTCCTCCCGCCGCTGAATGCTCTGGTAACACCTTTGCAGTACTTGCAGTGATATTGCTTGCATATCTCTGCAGCACTTTGCAAAGGGTTGGGCTAGATAAAGAAATTGTGGTAACCTGTTCAATAATCTGTTTACTGTCTCTTTTCCTTACCTGACAGGAAGTGGGCAGGATCTCCATCTATTTTGCCCATTAATAGTTGATGTTTGTTTAACTGATGGATTCTGAATCCTACTTGCCTTAGTTCCTGACGTCCTCTCTCCTTGGAACACCAGCATCCCATTGTTCTGTCATATGTCCACTTATCCCTTTTAAGATACAATTTCAGATCAGCTCCTTGGTGAAGCTGCCACTGAACTCCCTTATGTGGGGTACTTGTTCCCAAGGTACATGTATTTACCTCTGTTGTGGCAATTGATATATTGAATGCCACCACTTTTGATAGTAGGATCTATGTCTTACATAGCTTCTCATCTTCCATGCTTAGTGGGTGCTTGACACAGAGGAGGCATGCAATAAAATGGGGTGAATGCATAGAGTAACACTGACTTCTGAGAGTGATGCTCATTTAATCCTACCTTGCTGTTTTAAGGTGAAAAGCTGTTAAGACTATTTATGCCAAGAACTGGTCCCCTTATTACTTCCTAGAAATGTCTTAAGTTACATAGTGGATACTCATTCGCCTTTCTAGGTATTTCATACTTACGACACTGGATTTGTCATTTACTTTTTATGCTAATAACCAACTCTAGGAATTTTCAGATATCTTTCTCACATCCTTGGTTCTTAGGTGTGAAGATCTTTGATTCTGTATGGGGAAAAGAAAAAGAATATTTCATTGTACATTGGATTCTCCTTCTCAGAATTCCATTACAATAGTAAATTTCATTGTCTTTTCCAGTTTTAGGCCTTCAACAATAGAACAGTGGAAATACTGATGCAAATCCTGATAATTATGCAGTTCAATGAGCAGGCGAATGGAGACAAACACAGACCAGAAGTATGTTTCCTTGGCTTCTCAACATTTCAAAGTCTCTCCTGGAGAATCTTCAATTCTCTAAATCAATTAGTGTAGTGAGTCCATTTTTTAAACAATAAACATCACAACGGCAAGTAATATTAAGAAATGACTATTTTTACAGAGCATTTTTACATATGTCATGTTGTTTAATACACCCTCCTCGGCATTTTTCCATCCAGAGAAATATGTTTTTAATGATTTATACCTGGACCCCCAACACATTAGAAGAAATCAAAGAGTGGATCATGAATTCCAACCTGGGTTTTGAAGGATAGTAGATGTCCCTCTATCCTGGCCTGTGGAGTCTGATAATAATAACGATAATCACAAAAGAGATAGACTCCGGTCCATTTATCTTCTTTTGACCTCCAGCACCTACTCATTTTTGTAAGCTCTGATTTCCTTTTGGAGATTTCTCCTCCTTCTTTACTCTCTTCTCTGGCTGTGTGGTTTGATGGGATTCCAAAACCTAGTTTTAGAGGTGGGCATTTGACCGATACCTAAGCCAATCAGTATATCCCACGCCACTCCTCAGACAAGGTAATTATTTCAGGGAGGGATATAAGACTCAACCAGATCAATGAAACCCCATCCTGGGAGGATGCGAAGAGCTGCTGAAGCCATCTTACTTTTTCCTGTGGTCAGAGAGTGGGAGCCACCGGACACTATCACATGTGGACTAAGGATGGTGCTAACTCTTCCCATAGCAAGCTGAGTGATGGAGAGAAATCAAAGCCTGGTGATACCATTTGGATCCTGTATACAGCCCTCTCTTCTTCCTCCCCTCCCCTCCCACGAGAGCTACCTCTACTGATGATTTCTCAGTTACATATTTCAAGAAAATTCCTTTTTTACTTCAACTGAATTTTCAGTAACTTGCAACTATAGCATTCTAACTGATACATTTGTAATTTGCCAGAAGTAGGCTAAGCCCTTTTACATATATTAGCTTATTTAATCTTTCGGAAGACATATTGTTATTTCCATTTCTTAGCTAATGAAACTAGGGCTTAGAGAAATTAAATATCTTCCCACTCACAGCTAGGAGATGTTGGGGTTGGGATTAGAATTCAGGTCTCAGCCACCATACTGTTTCTCGAACGTGGGAACACGTTGCAGAGTGGTAGCAAGCTTCCTCTCAGGATGCCATACCCTCTCAGACACCATCAATTCTTTCTCCCTCCTCGCCCAAACTCCTAACCCATTCCTTCATTTTACTATCCTCCAGTCTCCTCCTTTCCCCTCCCACACCTTGACTTCAAAACTCCATGGAAATAAACATTAGCTTCTCCACCCAGCAAGCTCTGGGAGCCCAGGCTGTTATTCTCCTGCCCAAGGCAGGGGGCTGGGCGAGATGACCCCCACATAGCCCTTTTGGCAGCTTTGCTGTGGAAGTCACAGCTCTTGCCTGGGTGCCAGTAATTGTTTCTTCCTTTTCTGGCCCAGAGCCATTCTCAGAGGCTTCTCTGACAGCACCAGGGTAACCCCAGGCTGATAGGCACCCTGCTTGGATCAGGCATTTCACCGCCTGGGCATTTGTGTGCAGCTGGCTTTGTTTGAAATCCTGCCTCTCTCTGACTTCACTTCCTGAATGTGCTGACAGGCCTCTGAGCCAAGCCAAACAGGTTCCCAATGCCGTGCCTGCAGAGCATTCCCCTGCGAGTGCAGCTGGGGAAACAAAACTTTTCTCCAACCCTCAGAGAGGGCCTGCTGGTCCTTATATGACCAAGAAGCAGCCCCTGTGAGACCTTGTTGAGCCTTAATGGGAAACGGTTTCATTTCAGTTAGGGAGGGGTGTGTGTGTGTGTGTGTGTGTGTGCGCGCGTGCGTGCGTGTGTGTGTGTGTGTGTCCACTCAGTGACTCACTGGCTTGGGGTGGGGGTATTCCTGATCATTTCTTCTTAAATTAACAAATTTACAGTGAAAAATGGTGAAATACTGCTTACCTGCTCTATGCAAGGGCTTTACATATATGATCCTTCTGACATTCTTCTGAGATAGCCATGATCAGCCTCATTTTTACAAAGAGAATTGAGATTTAGCAATATTAAGGGACGTGCTCCAAACTCCCCAGCTATGAGCTGCAGAGCCAGATTTAATGCCCCCAGGCACTTGACTCCAAATCCGTGTGCCTCAGTCATAATACTCAATTCTCTTCTGTAACTCGTAATACTTTGATTCTTCTGTGGTCAGAAGGGAGCAAAGAACAGTGGAAAGGGAAAAGGCTTTGGTGTCTTCTCAGCTCTGTGAAGTTCGGCAAGTTAGTTTTCTTCTCTGAATCTCAGTTTCCTCATAAGTAAAGGGGAATGATAACAGTGCCTGTGGCAGGGAGATTGTGAGTCTCAATGGAGATATAAATTCACATAATAGTACTACTCAGGGGCAAGGTCACAAGTGTACAAAGCAAGCTCTTTGGACTCAGAAAGACGTAGATGCAGCTCAGGCTTCCACCAGTAACTTATTCCATGAACTTGAAAGAGATCTGAACCTCCATTTTCTCATGTATAAAATACAGCCCTAACATTTACCATGTAAGTCCTAGCACGGTGCCTGCTACATAGTAGAAACTTAGTAAATGGTATCTATTATGAATATTATACAAGTATTAATTTTCATTATACCATTGGTTCCTACTGGAGCAGTTAGGAAAGGCTACATAATGCTATAATAGCAAGTAACCTTCAAATCTCCATGTCTTAAAACAACAAAGGTTTAATTCTTGCTCATGCGAATGTCCACTATAGGTATGCTGGGGGTGAGGCGGGACTCTGACCTACACCATCATTTAGGGACCCAGATCATTGGACACTCCGTCTCTGTGCTTCCATAGTTATCGAGGCTGGGAAAAGGAAACATGTTGAATCTCACACTCATTCCTAAGGCTTCCACCGAGATGTGATGTAAGTCACTACTGCTTGCATTTCATTGGCTGACACAAGGCACAAGGCCTCTCGCCCAATGTCAAGGAGGTAGAAGATAAGGAAGTATAACCCTGCTTTATAACCAAGAGGAGAAATGGAAATATTTGGTGTAGACCACTAATGACTATCCACCAACCTTAAAGCCATCTTCCCTCCCATTTCTTTCTTGTTATCAGAGCCTTGATTTTTATTTATTTTTACAATTTACTTTTGGTGTTTACTCTCCCACATGCTTAGGAAAAGGTGATCCCAAGAGGTGAATCACAACTGTAGACCAATTATGATAGTCTCTCTCTTTTTTTTTTTTGCCAGGGATGAGTTTGACTATAGGCATGTGACCTGCTCGTAGCAAATAAGACCCAAGGGGAAATCTACTGGGATGGAGGTGGGGAGCTTCTAGGAAAAGTTCCTCTTGCTAACAAAAAGAAAGACTAAAGTAAACATCTTTGAATTGCTAATGATCATCGTGTTTACCTATGATGCCAAGAACTGCTACAGCTATCTTGAGTTTGCACCAGGAACTTCCTCGACACACTAAGAATTGTGAACTAAAAAGATGGAAAGCCCCTGGGCCTATGATGATGTCATTGTGCCACTATATTTACCTTAGACTTGTTTCATGTCTGAACTTCTGTTTAAAATTTATCTTCTATTACTAGGCCTTGTAAGCATCTTACCTTGTGGAGTGGTCAATCGTTTAACAGGTCAGATGCCTGCCGACCTTTTCCCAGATTTGTAATAATGGCAGGCAAAGTTCCTCTATCTGAGCATGAACCTAGGATGAATCAAAGCACTATGAAAGAGATCAGCCATCAGCAGAAGCTGATAGACAGTCCTGAGGAGATTTGGGAAATACCCAAATTCTGTCCTGGTAGTACCTATAACTTAAGGAAGTGTCTTAATCAATTTTCTGAAGATAGGGAAGTATAACCGGAATAATGGTGCAACTATCAGGCAGTATTTTTTAGTGAATGTTCATGAAGGAAGTTTATAAAGCAAGAAACTGCCAAGGTTGATCAGCTAAGTATTCTGGTCCCTCCAGAAAGAAGGACTTTGTAGCAGAGTAGGGAGAGTTCATTAGATGTGGCTGTGACATGGATGAAATATTCCAGGAGACTATCTGATTACCTTTCCTCAGATGTTGTGCACATCAGAGAACCTTCTGATGACTAATTCAGTTCCTCAGAGTCCTTGATTGAGAAGTAGGGGTGTGCTCTGAGTAAAGAACCCAGGATTACCAGGCATCTGGTTCTTGGAATAATAAGGAGAAGTATATGGTTCTTGATCTCTGAGGACCTAATTGTGGCCCCACCAGTGACTGGATGAGGGGCATTGACAAAAGCACTTAAAACTCACTGTGAGCCTTAGCTTCTGTTCCTGTGAAACAAAGCTACTAACAATGAACATCCCTAGGATAGTGAAGAAAATAAAATGAGGTAGAAGAAGCAAGAACACTTTGGAAATGACAACAGTATTAACCTGTGAGTGCAAATCTCATTTTTCATCACTCTCCCCTTTACTCATTTAGCTACCGAAATAAAGACCTTCTCTTAACATCTAGGTTACCCTGAAGTCTTTCCCAAGCTTTCACTCATGTTGACCTTCCACCTGGAATTTTCTACCCATAGCCTTCTGATCTTTCCCTGATGAACTCTTAGTTCAAGTACTTCTCCAGAAAAGACTTCTTTGCCACCAAACCAGTTTAGATTGTTTTTCTCTTTCATAGAGCCCAGTTCTTCTTCTTCACTGTATAGTTGACCCTTGAACAGTATGGTGGTTAGGGGCACTGATTCCTTATGCAGTCGAAAATCCCTGTATAACTTTTGACTCCCCAAAACTTATTTACTAAGAGCCTACTGTTGACTTACCAATAACATATTTTCTATGTCATATGTATTATGTACTGTATTCTGGCAATGCGGTAAGCTAGAGAAAAGAAAATGTTCTTAAGAAAACCATAAGGAAGAGAACATGCATTTAAAGCATTCACTGAAAAAAAATTCATGTACAAGTGGACCCTCATAGTTCATACCTGTGTTGTTCAAAGGTCAAGTGTACTAATCAAAGAGTAGAATCATATATTTATTGGTGTGTTTACTTACTGTATTTCTTAGCAGGTTACAAACTCTGTGAGGGGAGTGTCCTATAGATTTCTCTCTCCATTGCATCTCTAGTGCTGGAATGAAACAGGAATTCAATATTGCTTGTTAAATAAAATGAGTGTAATGTGAATGTAAAGTATTATTTATTCAATTCCCCCAACATAAATAAAAACATTGGCATCTTTGTTTATACATCAAAGAGTTTGTATATTTTGGATAGTCTCACTGAGCTTAATCAATTCTGGGTAACTAGAAAAAATCAGGTTTGAGTCCTGCAGTGGTGAGGATCAACTCTATACTGTGACCCTGGGAGGTCACAAGCCTCTTCCTTTCACATCCATTTATTTGAGCATACCGACATTGAGCAGGTAGGCTCTGAACCATTTTGTAAGATGACTTTCCTTCAGATGTCAAATTGTCACAGTGGAGGAGAAAACTTAAGTATGGGACAAGTAGCCTAGGTAAAAAGTGAACTTCCGGATACCCTCCTTAGTCCTAACTTCTCAAA